ACAAATGCCAACGTTAGTCTAAAAAACTCTTTGAGCTAGATTGGATCGGCGAATAAAATGGTTAAATGATTCAGGCAACTACTGAACCTTTCCAAATTGTAACTGTCTGCTGAACCTTTGCCTTGTTTAGCTGGTTAGTGTTAGGCACCGCGTAACTTAAAAAATCAAGTGGTCATGGTACGTTTCCAGTCTTTAGCTAATAGTATGGCTTTAGGGTCGAGTTCGAACAAAAACAGTGAAGAAAGCCGCGAGGTTTATAATCGAGAGGTTTTACTCCAAGCTGACAAGAGACTTTCACACAAACAAATTTGTTTGCCAAGACATCGCATGCATTGGTTCTAAAAGATTGCGTAACATGATCGCAGGTTATGTGACACATTTAATGAAGCGTTTCGAAGCGGGACCTGTACGTGGTATTAGTATTAAGCTTCAGGAAGAAGAAAGAGAACGAAGGGACAACTACCAGCCAGAGGTCTCAATATTTGATACTATGGCCATTGAAATTGACCCCGTAGCACAGGAAATGTTGCAAAGCATGGTATGTACTTTGGTTGCATTAACGGTCTTTCTTTCAGAACGTTGCACATGCGAAGAACATGCGTTCATTTTTACCTGCTGTGAAGTAAATTTTTATCCAAATAAACTGGTTTGCAAACTATGTGGTCTTTTCAGTGGCTTTAACATTCTTAAGTAATAAGTACTACTTAGTTTCGTTCATTCACTGCTGGTCTTGGGCCATGTTATTAGTCAAAAGCTTTGCTTGTAAATGTTGATCGTCTTTGTAAGACGCATTTAATGTATTTCATGACTGAGAATTTATTAATTCTTGTAACTCCTTGTAGAGGTCGCCGGCCAGTTGTCTGCAGTCTACTCTGCTCTGGCCTCTACATCCCAGTTTCTGTCGAGTAATATTCCTCTTTTTGAAAGTTATCTCCGATTACTTATGCATCGCCTTCGGTCTGTCTCCACTTTGCCTAGTAATCCGGTTATGTGGTTTTTGTTAAGTGCAACCTACGCACCTCCACCCAAGTTCCTCGGCTGGAATCTGTTTCGTTCTCTGATACAGCAGGTTATTGTTGCTGGTGTCTGGCCAATAGATCCGTAGTATCTTGCGTAGACAAGTGTTTATAAATACATTCGCCGTTTTGATGATGGTTGTATTGGTTCTCAGCTTCATATAGCGAGACTACTTCGACGTTTGTATAAGAAATTCTGATGTGTTGGCTAACAGTTGTTATAATCTTCGTATGTTTTTGAATTGTACAGATAGTGCTTTCACTTTCCCAATCCATGCCTTTATATTCGGGTCTGGCCTCCTTGTTTATCGGTGATACTGCCAAAGTAGAAGTTTCCACCCATTCCGAGGCTCATTAATCAAGTGATTTGTCTGGTTCTCTGTGTTGTAATTTAGGGTCCTAATTTTTCCTTTCTGAGTGTTGAGGTCCACTCCTACTATACTACCCCCATTGCTTGCCGTGTATGGGGTAGATGGTTCAAATCATCTGCGGAGTTCAAACCTAAGTATGTGCTGTGGTACGTTCTGACGTCGATTCGATCTCTGGCGGTTTCTTATAACCTAAATCTCAAGTCTTATGCGTTGAATTTTCATCAATCGATTAGATTCTTGCCCTACGCGCAGTACTTCTCATTTTAACATGTATGATAGCGATGACTGTTCCAGTTTTGACGTTGTAAACTGACTATCCCTTTTTTTAATCTTAGATTTCTATTTGGATATAGAAGTCGGCACTAAGAAACTGCTTCCGGACTACTGATGGTCTGAACGTTCAGCTTTTAAATACTGCTTGAAGACTTGTATATCATAGCTGGTATCATCGTTCTGTTAGTCCAGCGAGCACATTTGCAAATCGACACGTGTCGACTTATTTAGATAAATGTATTCCTACGTAGTCGACTGAGTCACCGTTTCCAAACAGAGTAATTACACTAAATGATTGCCCAAAACTTGTGGGCCAGATTATACTTAAATCATTAAGCCGTCACTGTGTCCACATACGATTATATTTCAGGGCACGTTAAGCATGATGTTAAAGTTCTTGGATTTTCTGCCTAGGACTTTGGCCGGTCGCACATGATTAAAATAAATTGTCCACATACGTAGGCTACATGTGGCAATATTTCGAGGTGTCTTTTTGGTTTTCTATGTTCCAATTCTCTAGAGTCGGTTATAGGTACCTTAATACTTCAGTTATGTCGTTCTTGAATTGTTTGGGATGTTACTGGTTGATTATTTTGTTACTGTGTGCTGTCGATTCGTCTGTCATCTTCGTTCTTTAAGGTACTGAATGGATGAATTCGAAAGCTCCGTTCTAAGTCTTGGTTTTGTCTGATGTATTCATTTCGGAAGGGTCACTGTATCTTATGCTGTTTATGTTAGCATAAATTCAGTGGTTTCCTGGGCGAATTTTTGGAGAAAATGTGTTAGTGAGTACTAGATATCGCGACGAAGTTAAGGATTATGAGTTTTAAAAAGATGATAACATATCATTCCTATGTTCAAGTACTTGACGTTTATATACTTGTGGTAGCTTATTTTGCGTGTCCAAAGGAATGGGTTTTTTTACTAAGGCATTTAGATACTATGAAGACTACTATATACTGAGTGCTGCGAATACCAGGTGTATAAATAAACCTAAGTCTAACGTATGACCTTATAAGGACCACACGTAAGTAGCCCGTATCACGGTTCGGAAGTTTGATAACAACTATCTTGCAGCCCTCTTATTAACTTACTTAACAGACGATGTAATTTGAACAGTAACAATTCACGTATTTCTTTGCACCGTTATGATGACACGTCACTTACTAAAATGTTGATTGCTTATGTATCACTCGATGATTCATCCTTTTCCCCATGTATGTATGTACTCAAATCATATTAGCTTTTGCTACACCCGTATGCAATTTGACTGCAAATAAGCCTGTGTAATTTCTCGCATATACTTATTCGCCTCCGCCTCAAACTCACTCAATGTGCTTATATTTTTGTGATCTGCTCTATCCGCAAATAAACTGCAGTTATCGCTTCTCTTTGCCTTCTGATTTCAAACACCATTCAGGTTTATATTATAACGGTTATCGAGGTGTTCGATCAACGAAGCAAAGACATTACAGTCTTACAAACTTGAATTATCATAAACGAGCACTTGGCATATTTCATTTCTCCAATCTTGTGCTATCACAAGTTTCGAAGTTTTAGCCAACACATGCCTAAATTTTGTTCTCGATGGCATGGGGAATAATACACTAAAATCTAAGGAATATTTATGACGTTAATAGATATAAAAGTCAGTGAGGTTTATGACAAATAACCATAACAATATGATTTACGGGTTTGTCACTTCAGATTTACTCATAAAGTTTGTTGCTTTGGCTGGATTGTTATTACGTCATCGTTTAATAGTGTTTCTGAAAAAAAGATAGAGAATAAGCAATTTGGTTTTGTTTACATGAGGATTTATGGGATGTAGATTCTAAAAAAGAATAAGATCATGCATAACTTCGCAAATTTCGAGTAGTTGCACCTACCCCTATATTCATCTTAGTACTGAGTAGTCGCAATCGGATTTTATCATTTAATTGCTACCAAACTCTTCCAACCCAACCAGTTTTAAGGTCTGGAAAATATCATGTTGCTGATACTCAAGTTACGGATAAATAAGTGAGAGTCTGGTACACCTGTTACCTCTTCTTAATCTTAGAAGCACCCTGTATTTAATTTGTCTCCACTTGATACTTCGCCACTTTGTGTAATATCTCTTCTGACAAGTCGGTCTAATACCATGTCCTATCAGGTTAAATATGACCCTCCCTGTAATGTTTGCTGTGAAATGATGAATACTAAAAGGAAGCAATCCTGTATTCGCAATGACTCAAAACTTCATGAATTTATACATGATCATTGCGTAATTAGTGCCAGATATATTTCGTGGATGCAAGAAATAAACATCTGAACATAGTAATCACCACTTATCAATAATAATACTTCCAGTCTTCAATAAAACAGTGGGATTATTTAACTCGTCTGGAATAAGGTAATCTCTATCACCGTTTCAAAGGCATATAGTATTATCTTTCTTGGAGAAATTCTAAACAACTTATTAGGACTTTGTCATGTATTATTTATCTCAGATTATCTGACCGAAAAAGGCTCCTGCTGTTCATTTGTTTCGATCTTTGTTTTTCAGAATGTTCGTTTCTAATAACGTCTATTTTTCTGAGATTTTACTAATAGGTTTAGTTTAATCATTTTCATACGGTTTTTAGTTTAAAGTGACCGTAGCTTCAAAACAGTCAGACGGTAATTCCTGGGTATCATTTAGAATTTGGCGTTGTACGTTGTTTATATAAGGGGTACTTTGTAGCTATTTGGCCGTACAAACCACTTGATTGGTTTCATTTATCTGCGAAAATCATGTGGTTTTCAGAAGCATAGATTAAACGGGGTAGAATCATTACAGTTATCCTTTCTCATACTCAGCTCTATGATCGCTTATCTCTTGGGAGTTAAATAGATTCGTATCTTTTGTGCTTTTTCACGTAAAACATCAAGTCGCATGTTTTAAGTTAAAAGGTTTTTATTATGACTATCCAATTCGCCTCAACAAAATAGGTTACGATGATTTGGGCAAGAGGCTATTGGGAACTTCAGTTTGGAGTTAATTGATATGATGAACTGAAATAAGTTAGGGAACTAACAATCTGTGATTTCATAGCAGTGCATACTTATAGTAATGCAAGTGGTCACACAGTACCTTCCGGTCTTGGGATGTGAACAACTCAACCGTAATCTGATGATTCAGGTTTCGTTAATTTGTGATCGAACACGACTATACACAATATTTATCTTACCCCAAACAACACTGAATTATGTTTAAATTATGACTTAAACAGCTAGCTTACTGCTAGTGTAACTAACCCACCAAGTGTAAATTTATTTAGTCCGTTTCAAGTTTAATCTTATTTAGCCACCAGATGACTGTTCGTATCTATTCCGAATTCTAGCCCACTGTTCTGATTTATTTAACAACAACCCATAACCAAGTGGATAAAAATGTTAGTAACTTTGATGGGAAATATCCATAGTTTATATCAATTCAGAAAATATGGCAACTCAGGTATAAGTCTTCTTACTAAACTAAGACAACGTCAGAGAAGGCCTAAATGTAGACGGAAATGTTTTGTTAAAGTAATTTTATTTACTTTAGTCAATTGTTCAACTATTCAAAAACGCCGGTGCAGCTGTGTGTAGAAAAGATAAAAAGCACTAGTTGGTAACAAAGCGAATCGTGTCTGTTCCTTTACCCGTTATTCATTTAGAAAAACATCGATTTGGGTTTATGTTCTCTGTTTCACAAAGTGAGATTAATTTGACTCCTCAGTAAGCACTTCATCACCATCAACGTCTTTCAAAGAGCAAACGTCAAAAAGGATTAACTTCTAACATTTCTTGGACTAACATGAGAAAACGCGAAGGCGACACCTACCATCAATTGGCTCACTGCATATCATAGTGCCTGCACCTTCAGCACGTGACTTTTTGTTTGATTTTGACGAATCAGAACGTTGACATTGTGACGCTAATGACCGTGATACTTTAAATCTCCATGGTTCCTCCATTCTCTCAGTAATTTTCATATTCTTGTAGGCCAGAGCTAACAGTTGAACCTATGAAAATGATTCATATGGATGTGCAAATAAGTTCTACTTTTTTTTGATTAGTAAACAGATCTGGTGTAGTCTCCATTTCTGAAGAAGTTAGGTTATCTTTAATGAACTTCGCTAGACATGATCTAGCATAGATTGGCAAGGAAAATTGGTATTCTAGATCTGTGGGATCGAAGTTTGCTAGGCCCTCCTTCACTCTAAGGTTTTGTAACTGGAATATAGATATCGTACTTCTTCTTTGAAAATATTTCGTGAAGAGTGGTCAAAAGAATAATTCCTGCATTTCTTTTGTTATGGGCGGCACATTCAATAATATCTGGTGGCAGATAGATGCACAAACGTTGTAGTATCTAAGGTGACTAAAAAACTATTGAGTTAAAAACCTCTTGAATCATGTTCCAGTTATGTAGCTTGACTTTTATACTCTGTCCATCAATAAATTTCCCAAGATTCACCGTTTTTGGTTGGTAATTGTGCAAAATTTCAGCCACTAGAATACCATTCGAAACACACCTGTTCGTCAGTTTATGGTAAATGCATTTGATGCTAACCATTTTAGGTTTCTGTGTTCCAGATTAATATCTAATGTTAGTAGCCAACGTAGCACTTCACGTGGTATTTCCGCCATAAGGTTGTTATAGTAGCAGCTTTGTTGGACATCTTTAGTTTGTATCGGACAAAAGCCTATATTATTCTCTCTTTCCTAACAGAGTGCAATTAGATGATTTATTTACGATGACTTGGGAAATTTGAGTATTTCAAGAGACGTATAGCATGTGGCGATTCATCTAGTATTATCAGCAATAATCCCTTCAGATCATTGTGTTTACCTATTTTACCTTTGTTTTCAAATCCACTTATTGTTTCTCCATACACTTCTACTTGCACCGTCGTCAAAACTTTACGCTCCACAACTCCAAGCTCATTGACCTTAAAGTACTTCAGGTGAAGAGATCTTTAACGAATCGGTGAACGTAGAGTCACTAAAGATTTGATGGACCTCCTAAACCAGGCTACAGAGCTAAATACTTTCATCCGCTTAGAGTAATGGGAAAGAATAGGGGAACTGCTATGTTTAGTGCTACTCAAGTTAACCACATCAGTTGGCTTTCTAAACTCAATGTTTTTCAGTAGGTTGCGGACAGTCAGTTGTCATCTCAGGAAAATCCTCATGCACTAAGGCGGGGTACTTAAACCAAAGTTTGAGACCGATCTTTTTATGCATACCTTTTGAGGTCTGTCACGATCTTATGTAACTCCATCGTTCAACCTTTCTGTACTGATGCACAATATTGATGCGATTGACTACATAGGCACTGAACCAACCATCAGTACCCCTAATGTAATACAACACTATTGTGACAGAAAAAGAACGATTATAATCCCTTCGCAGCATTTTTTGTTGTATAGTATTGTCATTTATTTGTTTCATCTCCCGGTTATGTAATTTAACCTTTATTCAGATTTTGTTTGACCACACCTTTTGTTCTTTACTCTTCCCGATCCGAGCCTTTATTATGTGATCTTGATTAAAAACTTATCTTTCCTTACCTTACTTTCTATTGCATGTTGCCGGACTATTGAGAGTAATGTCGTGGTTTACTAAGCTCAAGGTCACGGCGTGGTTCAGTGTGTGACTGTTAACCCTTTGACAGTCTGCTTGAGAGGATTGCTGGAATCCCTGCAGATGGATATTTGATCCCATCTTGCTTGGAATATTTTTATTGAATCTCAGATACCAATCCCTTTGATATTAACTGTTGCTTTTATTGTTTAGCGCGCTACTTTGCATTAGAGAAACCTTTGACTGTATAGCTTAGGCTGTACCGTTTTAGTTACTTTGTATTTTTGATATAATTTGTTCTATTTCCAAAATTAGAACCGTTCAAATTGAGCACAGAGTTTGCGTTTTGTTATAGTTTAATTTGAGAATCTCAAAAACGCTTCGGAAGCAATACAGGAGAACATAGTCTGGCCTATTCGGATAAATTTTGGTTCGTCAGTCCTGCGTTCAAACGGAATACTGGCAGTTCGGTCGTTACAACTATTATTAAATGTGCATAAAAATTCACTTCAAGTAGAAAAACAAGGAATACTCCTCTCTAAGATCTTACCGATCCTTACAATTAACACGGCTGCCGCAATCTCCAGTCTCGTCACAGTAACTTGTTTGATCGGTGCTTCCAGAGACGTGTTACAAAACAAAATACAGTATACTGATTGCTTCGGATAACTATTATATGGCAAAATCTGATACATCACTGAATAAATGTAGCTCTACCTTAGCGCTGAGTCCGTCAGTCCTTTCCCAAATCCCCCGAGACACCGCAACACGGTCTATGTGACATATAAAATTCAGCCATTTCAGCCAGGCTGGCAAATACGGCTTGCTGAGCACCTGATCACAGTGTATCTGGGCCTTAAAAATCTTTCTTAGGTGAAGTTTAGCAGCTAAGGCAGGTTGGACCAATTAGGCGAAGTGGGTTAGACAGAGAAGAACCGGATGATAAAATCCCTCATTCAGTCAAAGGCTTCTCCGGTGCATAAAATAGTAAAACTTAGAAACATCTTAACAACAAACATACTTTTGTGATATTCCAATGAGTAGAAATTGTATTTCCGACGCTTCATTCTCTAAAAAACTATTGATGAAGGCTGGTCATATATCATATGCTAGTGTATTAAGATAAAACATTATAGCCTAGAGTTGTTTCGTTCTTGGTGGCGGGTAATCACGAGATCTTTGATATAACTTCACATGAATCCTTTACGGCATTAATTAGGTTGCTCTGAAGTGGCTTCAATATACTCCCTAGATATTTAGATTGTGCATGTATGGGAGCATTTGTGAAATCCACTATGGGTTCTTAAGGAAAGCCAGGCTTGTGAATTTTTAGAGGCTCAAAGAAACGTGATGTAATGTTGGATCCAGGGTACAAGGCAAACCATAAGGAAACGTGAAGGAAAGGCTTTAGTTATTTCGGTGGTGCACTTGTATTTGATTTAACCTTATTATCGATCACTTGATTTTTGGAGTCGATCTTCAAATGTGACTCTGTCGGACCCATTATGATGTTGATTAAACGAAACGTCAGAAATAAAATTTTCCACTAATTGTGATATCACATAAATAAATTAGACATTAATTTTCTACCCAATGCTCAGTTTGTTTAGAACTATGAAGTTAAACCTTGCCATTGACTCCTCAACTACATGTTGTCTGAAATCTTATTCTGAGCCTAAGGTCCAGTGATAACTCTATAATATGTTTATCAAAGACATGCACATCAGGCAAGAAGACCTTTGCTTCTTCCGTGTTCATTAGCCAATTCTCAATTTTGAAACCTCCTCCAGATAATTTTTCATTTATTTTCATAACAATTTTCTCTGCCTGTTTACGAGTGGAAAAGGATATCAAGAAGTCATACTCATGGGAATTCTTCTTGTCGGCATCTACGACTAAACAACCATAACCAGAGCAGAATTTTCGGGCTGTCTTATTGGTAGCAAAGTTTGCACAAAACAGCGATGACGTTTTCCCATGGATTTATAACCATCATCAGGAACGTTTAACAGGAGCAGAGGTTGGAGCACCAAAAATACCTAGATGGTACTAAAATGCACAAAACATATTTCAACTAGCCGTCGAAAAAATACAGACAGTGAGCAACGATCAAATGGCCAATTTTGGACGGCAGCAGTAGAAATCTAAAGAATAACTTGCACTAACAATTAAAATATGATTTCTTTAAAACGTGGAAAATAAACTCAGCAAAAAGTAATGAGGCATACAAATCACCTTTAAAAACCAGTTCACAAACATCGTAAACTGCGTTATGGGTACAAACATGTGGTGGACCAGACGACATATAAACGCAAAAAATATCAACAAAGTTAATAAAGATCAACAGAAATGTTAATATATGTATAAGTTAATTAGTTTCTTTTTCCCCATATCTACCAGTAGGTTGTAAGCACCAAGAAAGTTGGCCCCGAGAATGGGTTTTTTGATTTCAGCTACGATGAAAACCCATGTGAAACGTCTGTGGAGACCGAGATCTAAGATAAGTGATTGTTCGCCATAAGTTTTAATGACTGTGTTATTGGCTGCGACTAGAGACAATTTAGTACTCTGAGAGTGCCGTCATTGAGAAAGGTGAAATGGGACAATGCTGATTTCGGCTTCTGTATTTGCTAGCCAGGAAGAGTATGTCACGTTATGTCAGTATCACAACGGAAAGTGTGTTCAAGGTCACTTACTAAAACAACAGGCACAATCATTTAATGATAAAATATACAGACAGTGAAAGGTTGACAAAATAAATACAAATAATATTAAAAACTATTTACAAAATAAGCTTGTCAGGCCTATCTCCACAAACTATTCACATTGAAACACCAAAAACTACAACCAAACCATAAACTAAATGAAACAAATTTAGAACGAAATATGGAATCCATAATGACTGGCAGGGGTGATGTGTAATATGCAACATGATCAAATATCTTAAATTACCGTAAGAGTAAATTCACGAAAGAGAAACCTGAAGATTCTTCGACTAATCAGTGTTCAGCTAACTGCGATCCTCCTAATCAACTTTCCTGATCCAACCAATCAGTAATTATAAATCAAAGGTCGTTTTTATCTTTCCATTACTAATGTCACATTACTCTACTCTACTGTAAGAGTTTTCTTCAGTCGATTTTATTGAATACCAGCTGGTGTAACAATAGTTCTGTTGTAATTGGCTATATAGTGTGACTGGGTGACACGTGTTTAAATCTGACGAAATAGGTGTTCATCTATGATGTGTTCTAACTAGCACGAAACTTTAGTCTTCGTTTAATTTCGAATACTTCCAACAATGTGACTCATTTGATATGACTATTTATAACAGAAAATCTTTGAGAACTATTATTTATGATTCATCTAAATTTATCAATTTAATTTGAATCTGTTTCTATTAAATGAATAGAAGTTGGAAATTTTTTGAGATTTCTCCTATTACTGTTAAAAGTTAATAAAATTTACATATATATAGTTAGATGACCCAATTACTGAATTCCAATGGTCTGAAAATTGTGTATCTTCGTGACAAATTTATTCGAATACGTCACCATTGTGATGAAACTTAAATAACCTTAACGATAGTTTGATTGTACAGTCACTTTATTCCAGAATATGTAGTAATTGTTATATCATTCAAAGTATATTTCTCTAGTTGGAGAATTATTTTGCGTTCATAGCATTGGTTGAATAGTTTTCGTTTAATGTATCAATTGGTTTAACTGTGGTTCGTTGATTAAATGAACTATTGAGCTGTAAAAAATGTCGTTGAAGTCATTCGATACATATATTTCAGTTGATCTAAGTAGATACAATGAAACCTGAGACGATGGACTATTAACATTATTAAAAGTATATTAAAACAAGACATTCCACTGCGTAATATTAATAATAATAATCAATATGGATTGGTACTGCAGTTTTACCAAACCGTCATGGCACAACAGAAGAACTCCAAAGAATCTCAAAACAACACAGAATCAAAGTATATTACAAAACGACGAACACACTTCGAAATACTTTAGTTCGCTAAGAAGAAAAAATCCTATTCATTTCAACAC